CCCGTTTCATCCTGAACTGGAAAACGCCCACTCATCGAAGGCTGCCCTACGTGTATCCTCCGAATCTGTTACTCTGCCTCCCCGCAGCAGCCTTTTTATCAACGTTAAATGTGACCAAGACGTCCCCGATGCTGTAATTGCAGAAGAAAATTTGTCCCTACTTTTTGCACACAAATCTGCGTTGTTCGAGGTATTGTTCAGCACAGTAGAAAGCAGGCTTGCCTATTCGTCACGAATTTCAGCGAGGAGTATCGCCATCTTACCAAACACACTGCAATTGCATACCTTGAGGATATTGCTGACATCCCTGGTCCCTCAATATTATCTGCTCTTTCGTCGTGCGACGATTCCGCCATGACATTTGCAAGCACTCTCGACGTAAACCAGGGTCTACCGTCTGCACAACGGGAACGTCTTTTGAAGATACTCGGCTCATTTCGGGACTGCTTCGCTACGACTTCGAAAGTTAACCAAACACCGCTTGCGAAGCATCGTATCATCACCGAGCCTACCGAGAGACCCATTCGACAGCATGCCTACAGAGTCTCGCAAAAAGAACAAGACGTTATACGCCAACAAGTCCAGCAGATGCTCAAGGACGATGTCATCCAGCCATCGACCAGTCCCTGGGCGTCCCCTGTTGTGTTAGTAAAGAAAAAAGATGGTACTCTGCGATTTTGCGTCGACTACCGAAAGTTGGATAAGATCACGAAGAAAGACGTGCATCCTTTACCACGAATAGACGACTCGCTGGACCGCATTCGCAATGCTCGTTACTTTTCTTCCATGGATCTACGCAGCGGCTATTGGCAAATATCTGTTGATGAGCGCGACCGCGAAAAGACCGCCTTCATACTCCTGACGGACTCTATGAGTTCAAGGTCCTTCCCTTCGGCTTATGCTCGGCACCAGCTACTTTTCAAAGAATGATGGACACGGTTCTTTCTGGGCTAAAATGGCAATCGTGTCTTGTCTACCTTGACGATGTGGTCGCCTTCTCGGACACGTTTGAGCAGCACGTCCAGCGCTTACAGGCAGTTCTTCAGGCGATTCGAACAGCTGGACTTTCTCTCAAACCTGAGAAATGCCACTTTGCATTCGAGGAACTAAAATTTCTTGGTCACGTCGTCAGCAACGCCGGTATACACCCAGACCCTGAGAAAACGAAAGCTGTTGCCGCATTTCCTGTCCCAACGAACAAGCGCGACCTCCGCCGATTTCTGGGACTCTGCGCATATTACAGACGCTTCGTCAAAGGCTTTTCTAAAATCGCTGAACCGCTAAATGAACTAACGAAAGACGGCGTACCGTTTGTTTGGGGTCATGATCAGCATCACGCCTTTGACACGCTACGAAACCATCTCCAAGCCCCACCTGTACTCGGTCACTTTGACGATAACGCTGCCACAGAGCTACACACGGATGCCAGCAACGTCGGACTTGGAGCTGTACTGGTTCAATGGCAAAATGGCGTAGAGCGCGTGATTGCCTATGCAAGTCGAACACTATCATCTGCAGAGAAAAACTACTCTGCAACAGAAAAAGAATGCTTAGCCGTTGTTTGGGCTATAACAAAGTTTCACCCTTATTTATACGGTCGACCATTCAGGGTAGTTAGCGACCACCATTCTTTATGCTGGCTCGCCAACCTCAAAGACCCTTCCGGTTGTCTAGCACGCTGGAGCCTTCGGCTGCAAGAATTTGACGTTACAGTCATTCACAAGTCAGGACGCAAACACACTGATGCTGACTGTCTCTCGCGTGCACCAATTCGAAGTATGAACGCGGACGTTGAAGAGGACGATACATTCCTTTCCTCTGTGTCAGAAACCGACTTGGCTCAACAACAACGCGACGACATGGAGCTAAGCCCGCTGATTGACTACCTCGAAGGCCGAAAACGCAGCCTTCCTCGAAACTTTGCACGTTCGCTGGCCTCGTTCTGCATCAGGGATGGAGTCCTCTATAAGAAAAACTTCGACCATACCCAGGCTACTTACCTACTGGTTGCGCCGACCTCTCTTCGGGACGATATTTTACATGCTTGTCACGACGAACCATCATCCGGACACCTTGGCTACACGCGCACATTGGAAAGAATTCGCAGCTCATACTACTGGCCCCGCCTCGCGAAGACAGTCAAGCAGTACGTCCGCACATGCCGCGACTGCCAACGCCGTAAGACTCCACCTGTCCGACCAGCAGGACTATAACAGCCTATCGCCACGCCGAAGACACCATTCCATCAAATTGGCATTGACTTGCTCGGCTCATTTCCCACCTCTTCGTCTGGAAACCGGTGGATTGTGGTTGCCACCGATTATTTAACGCGTTACAGCGAAACAAAGGCCCTGCCCAAAGCTACCGCAGCCGAAATCGCACAGTTTTTTGTCACCAGCATCGTACTTCGTCACGGAGCGCCAGTTGTGATAATTACTGATCGTGGTACAGCTTTCACCGCAGAGATGCTTCAAGAAGTGCTGAGACTAAGTGGTACAGAACATCGGAAAACCACGGGTTATCACCCCCAAACAAATGGACTCACTGAACGGTTGAACAAGACCATTGCAGATATGCTGTCAATGTATGTGGCCGTTGATCACAAGAACTGGGATGATATACTCCCTTACATAACTTTTGCTTACAATACAGCAGTCCAAGAGAGTACAGGTTTCCCCCCATTTCGCTTAGTTCATGGTCGAGAGGTCACCACAATGCTCGACGCAATGCTCCTTCCCAACAACTTGAGCATGTTCAACACGGACGCTGAATTGTTCGCTCAACGCGCCGAGGAGGCCCGTCAATTCGCCCGATGCCGTATTCAGGCTCGCCAAACTGCCGACGCACACCGCTACAACCTTACACACCGAGAGGTTACCTTCCAACCAGGCGATGAAGTTTGGGTGTGGACTCCCATTCGACAGCGTGGTCACTCTGAGAAGTTGCTTCGGCGCTACTTCGGCCCTTACAAAGTTCTGCGCCGACTCAGTGACGTTACGTATGAAGTTCTCCCTGAGGGCGCCTCAAGACGTTCCCGTCGGTTTCCACAAAGTGATGTGGTGCACGTGTCAAGACTCAAGCCATATTTCTCGCATCATCCATCGAACGTGGACTAACTTACCATGCAATGACTATTTTTTTTGTCACTTTGCTTTTTTTTATTTTGTGTACTTACTCCTTTCTTTATTGAGTACTTCTAGGACGCCAGCCCATTTTTTTTTCTCCCTTACGACGGAGTTGTTGGGTTCCATGATAGCATCTTTTTTTTCTCATTTGTTTTCTCAACGCTCATTACCAGCATCGAGCTGATGCTTTTCGAGGAGAGGGAGTAATGTCACAGGTAATGGGTATGAGCCATCAACTGTAGGTGAAATCCCTTGGAAGTGAAGAAAGAAGAGGGCTTTTGCGTCCTGGTCTGAGGGCAAGCAAGACGTCGTTTCGTCTCTGTCTGTTATTACGTTCGCGGCAATATCAATGATCTTGCTGATTGCGTGGACAGTCAAGTGAGGTTGTGCGCAGATGACTGCTGCATATATCGTGAAATTAAGTGCATGCAAGATTCCGAACAACTGCAGAAAGACCTTGACTCAGTAATAGCATGGTGCAGTAACGTGGAAAATGCAGCTTAACGTGTCAAAGTGCTGTGTCGTTATGTTTACCAAGAAAAAGCAGCCTTTTATCACAAATTACTTCATGGAAAGGATACCATTATCCATGGTAAATGAATATAAGTATCTTGGCATTGTCATCAACAGCACACTATCGTGGAATGATCATGTTTGCATGGTATCAGTTAAAGCCAGTCGCGTGCTGAACTTCCTACGCGGCGATTTCAGAACCGCCCCCTCTATTCTTAAACAAGTTCTTTACGTGTCAAATGTACGCCCGATTTTAGAATATGCTTGCACTGCCTGGGACCCGGCCACAAAGTTAAATATTGATGCATTGGAGCGCATTCAGAAACGTGCCGCCCGGTTTGTGACGGGTGATTACGACTTCACCAGAAGGTCTAGTGAAATTGTTAGTTCACTTGATTGGCAGTTACTCTCCTCAAGGCGTAAATATATCAGGCTTTGTCGTTTCTACAACCTAATAAACGAGAAAACTGGGATCGATAAAAACAAATACATCAGACCACCAACATACATCTCATCACAACGGGATCATCCTTTGAAAGTGTGTGAATATATGTGCCGAACATCAACGTATACGAATACTTTTTTTCCTAAAAGTATTCACAAATGGATCAGTCTTCCAAAAAACATCGTGACCGCCCCTTCCACAGCGTTTCCTTCCCTTTTAAAGGAGTATGTGATTACACAATGATATTGTATGCTGTGATATAGGTATTTTTGATTTGTTTTTCTTTTTTGAGTGCCGTGCAATTCAACTTGTCCCCACAGATTTAAATGTACTTTAAATTTGTAAACCCCCTACAACAATGCCCCCAGACGTCGCTGTAGGTATAAGTATAAATAAATAAATAAATAAATGTGACATCGACCTTGTGACGAAAATGTCTTTTTTTGTTCCTGTGTGTCCAGCCCACCTGCTTCACAGTTGCTGACAACATTATGAAGAGACAGCAAGCAATTTAATACCATTTTTGACATGCATTAGCACATTCTATGCTGTATGCTGTGTGAAAGCAATCATTGGGCACAGTTAGCACTCTCACAAAAGCTTACACACTCTACATGTTACAGGTTGCATGCACTCACATAATTACTATATGCATCAATTTCATGCAAAAACATATCCCGTTCAGGTGGTGCAATCGTACATTTTAGGGCAACATTCGAGACTAAAATCCCTGATGAAAGCAGTCATGCTCAATGAAAGCTTGACACATACACTTTATGGCATTATTTATGATCAAGACTTACCAACACTGGGCTAGTTCTGTTTACCCTATCACAATACAGTTGTGTGCCTTCATGTTCAAAATAACTCATTAAAGTACTACATAATCACGAGCACAGTGTGAAATGTTAACATACCCCCGTGAACCTTGCGACGCTGTCCGAAGAATCACTGGTACACTTTGCCATAGGCTGTAAGTTGCTCTCCTGCAATATTAGCACGTGAAGTTTTGTATCAGGCTATACTATAAAAATTCTTCCTTGCCACAAATACTCCTAAATGTGCCTGCAATGCCATTGGAAATCTTTGTTCATTTGAATTTGTATAATGAAATTTCTTTGCCATTTTCATCTAGAAAGACAGTGCATGATTATCATATAACCAATATCAAGAAATATAAAAATAAAACCTCATCAAACTGCAATGTTCATTTTGACAAAGTAAGATGTACAGACATTGACAGATAATAGTACAAATAAGGACAACGCAAAGGCAGATGCCTGCTCTTATACAAGCACACCATTGCACAGACCCTGTCTACATTGAATGCTCATACCATAAAAACCTCTCTTGCACATTGGTCAAGGCAAGGCTAACGTAATCATGTTCTGAAGAAAGAAGTAGCGAAGGCAAACTGCTCACCCATTAATGCAGATACATGTTGCCTTTCATGCTACCCATACTGCACATAATACATTAGCATCTATTCACTACTTTGTCTTGAAAACTTTTTTTTTTTCCTTTTGTGACTTCGATGTTCCAACATATGATCGCATCTACACATCGTAATATACAATTATGTGGTTATAATAAGCGCAGCTACAGAAAATCACTCGAGTACTGAATGAGGTCAAGAAAACAGGTAAGCCCGATTGCTGACCCTGAATGCTGTAGCTGGCACTTTCACGTGGGTGAAAACAAAAATGCCCATCAGGCCGTCAAATGTAAATTAGAGACCCTCACTCTAGCACGCCCCATAATCTTGTAGTTTTGCCACACATAATCTCAGGTTTTAAATTGTCTTAGTAAACACAATGCCAATTCCAACAATTCAAAACGAGAGATAATTGTCAAGCCACTGTCACTCAAGAAGGAGGAGTCTGAGATTAAATGTTTATGGGTATAATAACATCAAAAAATTGGTGCTAGTCTCAGAATTCTTGCTAGGAGGGCAGGCATTGAACAGTGACCAGTTCCAGCAGTGCTATTTCAAGATGAGCAAAAAAAAAGCATTTGTGAACTAATTTTACTGTGAATTCAAACAATTTCCCATGTTTACTATTGCTATCATAACATCATTTTAATATGTTAACGATAACATATGGCATTGACAAAACACCACTATTTGAAGCAACAAAGTACAAATAGTTGGTCTTGTGAACAACTCGAATCTTTCCAGACTGTATCTAGTATACAGAGATGATAAAATTGATAAATGATTCAGCAATTAGTGGTGCATGATTAATTGATCAACCATAATTGATTTCAGCATTTTGATTATTCAAATTATTCGATTAAAACTTTTCAATTGATCAATAACAGCAACCACCACTTCCACACCTTACATCGCCTCTTGGCCTGTGCACATGAGTGCGAAGTGAGCCATGCCGAGATGCATAAATCGAGCACACGTAATCTTTTTCACTACAGGGCATATCTGTACGCTAGTAGAACAAGCCCAAAGCAGTATGTGGTCCTACCTCATTGAGACAAAAATGAGCTCGCCCTGGTCTCCATTGCCTACAGCGTCAACCTTGGACAAGCCCTCCCCAAGAATTCTAGAGCAGGTAGGAAAACGCTCGGGTATTCACTTCATTAAATGAAGGAATGCAATGTGTCAGGTGACACCGGTCCCCTTTGAGATCACCTCGACTACAAACTCATAGATTGATACGTCCAGAACTGACATTGTACATGTTTCTCGCCTGGAGCGCTACAACAGTGACATGCCTTCCTAACCATAACCATCACCGGCATAGTGCTTTGCCGAGCGGGCTAATGTCCCGGGTATAGAAAAATGCCTCTGGCACGATTGGTTGGTTTTTCAACATCTTGGCGCAACTCACATTGGGGCGCCGTCTAACATGGGTGCCAAACAATGTACGAAAACGACGATGTTCTTGCATGTTGGACTGAGTCGGAGCTGCCCTGTTGTCCTAAATTCCTATGGGCTGTGAGCCACGTTAACGCGACTGGCCTGAACTTAATACTTCCTATAACAATCTATCTATCTATCTATCTATCTATCTATCTATCTATCTATCTATCTATCTATCTATCTATCTATCTATCTATCTATCTATCTATATATATATAGATACTACTGCGCACCTGTGTACTAGTTTTGAGTCACAGGTGCGCAGATTGCGCAAGGCAGGGTACCCGGATAACATACTGTGTTCCATAGCTGAAAGTATCTTAAAAGACATCAAACAGCTAACCGAACCGACTAGTGGTCAAGAAAAAAGTTCTTTTTCAAGAACAGCAGTCATTCCTTACTTGCATAAGGTGTCACATTGTTTAAAAAAGGTAGCACAAAAAGCTGGAATCAGAGTTGTTTTTTCAGCCAGAAATAAGTTCTCTAGTATGTGCCATCAGGTGAACAGAGAGGACAGAGGGCCTCGCGTGTGTGATAAAAAACACGCAATCAAGTTTGTTGAATGTTGTTTTTGTGCCATTTATGAAATTCCCCTCTCTTGCGGCCGCTGTTACATCGGGCATTCTGGCCGCTGTATAAATGACCGCCTCAGGGAACACCGCAATCTAATGCGGGGTTCTGTTGGCAGCCACTTAGCTGCGCACAGCTCCATTTGTGGATGCCGTGCATTGTTTGACAAATGCAAGATACTTCGACGCTACAGAGATAAAAGGACACGTGAGATTTATGAGGCATTCTGCATAATCAAGAAAGGCGATATGTGTGTCAGTGCACCTTCGATAACGCTCCTCACCAGGGAATTGGCGTATTTGACAAGCGAATGATTGCGCAATCACAGTTTATTTGTTATACGCATACAATCATAACAAAAATTACTCTTTCATGTCACTCGACTTCTCTCCCTCTTTTTTCAAGTTTCGTGTGCTATATATACACCCCTGTACGAAATAAATTTTGGTTGTAAGTCAGCGCCTCGTCCGTCTCTTCTCTGTCCTGTGTCCTGTGTTACGCGCTGTTTTTTCACTTCGTTGACCATGTACCAACCGGCCCAAATAAGCACTTTAGTATATATATATACATATATATATATATATATATATATATATATATATCTGTGCGTGTGCGTGTGTGCGCGTGTGCGTGCGTGCGTGTGTGTGTATTGTGACGACGCAGACACAGCAGAAGTCCGATATAGAAGAGCTCACTTTAATTGAAATGATAGGCGCTCGTAAAAAGGACCGGGCAAAAGCTTCGTCTTCCTTTCTGGCTGCGCGAGCTCTTCTCTGCAGGTTGAATGCCGCATTTGCCTCCCTCCAGGAAGAGCATCGTCCCGATGCTCGGCTACAGAATACGCGGTGTATGTAGTTGACGTATTATGCAACTGGCTCACTGCAATATGGCTTCATCCGCACAACTTGTACGATTTCCGATTTTTGAGTTCGCGAGGAAGTGTCATGGATGACCTCATAATTCACGTCACTTAGGCGCCGTACAACATTGTAGGGATCAAACTACTTCTTCAGTAACTTTTCAGAAAGGCCGCGTCGGCAAATAGGGCTCCAGACCCACACTTTCTCGCCTGGTTGATAAGTGACGTATTGGTGTCGCAGGTCATAACGTTGTGCGTCGTATCTCTGCTGCCAGGCGATTCGCACGCGTGCTAGCTGCCGCGCCTATTCAGCTCTTTGGGTTAAGGCTTGAACATCTGTGTCTATCATCGCAGTCGTGGAGCAACATGGCATCAAGCATTGTCGTCAATTCATGGCCATAAAGAAGACTAAATGGCGTGCTTCGTCTAGTTTCCTGCTGCGCCGTATTATTGGTAAACGTCACGTATGGTAGAACGTCGTCCCAATTTTTATGATCGACGTCAATGTACATACTCAGCATACCAGCAATTGTCTTGTTGAGGCGTTCTGTTAAGCCGTTGGTTTGTGGGTGGTAGGAGGTAGTTTTTCGATGCGCTGTCCCACTCAGCTCAAGCACTGACTTGAGGAGCATGGCCGTGAAAGCGGTACTTCTGTCCGTTATTATAATTCTAGGAGCACCATACCTCAAAACGATGTTTTCAATCAAAAATCGTGCCGCTTCTACTGCGGTTCCACTTGATAAAGCCTTTGTTTCTGCGTAGCGAGTAAGATAGTCAGTAGCGACAATTACCCACTTGTTTCTAGTATGTGAAATGGTCCAAGGAGGTCCATTCCGATTTGTGCAAAAGGCATGGTGGGCACTTGAACTGGTTGCAACAATCCGGCTGGTTTTAAAGGTGGCGATTTTCGACATTGACAATCGAGGCACGTGCGGACGTAATGCTTTACAGTGCCTGAAAGCTTCGGTCAGTAGTACTTCTGTTGGATTCTGGCTAATGTGCACGTGTATCCGATGTGGCCGGAGGTTGGCTCATCGTGGCAAGCGCTTAGGATCTCATCGCGAATGGATGTCGGGACGACAAGTAAGTGGCCATTTCCGCTGGGGGAAAAGTTCTTGTATAGGACACCACTGCGCAAGCAGAATGATGGCAGGCTCCTTGCAAATATCTTGGGAACGCTTGTAGACTGGTCATTAAGAAAATTAATAAGAGGAAGCAACTCGCTGTCTTCTTTCTGCTTAGACGAAATGGAGACCGTGTCGACCACTCCTAAAAACGCCATGTCATCATCTTCTGAGACATTGTCTTGCTTTATAGGCGACCTGGACAAGCAATCGGCATCAGAGTGCTGCCGTCCCGACTTATAGACGACCGTCATATCGAATTCTTGTAGGCGTAAGCTCCAGTGCGCAAGCCGACCAGATGGGTCCTTCAAGTTGGTCAGCCAGCCAAGGGAGTGATGGTCGCTGACTACGTGGAAGGGACGGTCGTAGAGATATGGGTGAAACTTCAGAATTGCCCATACTATAGCAAGACATTCCTTTTCCGTTGTGGAATAATGGGACTCGGCACGGGAAAGCATCCTACTTGCATATGCAATCACTCGCTAGGCTGAGTCTTGCCACTGGACGAGTACAGCGCCTAAACCTACGTTGCTGGCATCGGTGTGGATCATGGTA